ATTATTAAATTAGTCATTGATTATTTTAATAATCGATTAGTCTTCGATTAATCGTTGCAGCCAATCAACAAACGTAAAATAAAAACTTGTTTCCTGAAGGAATTTAATATGTGTTAGTGCTCTGAGTCTGTGTTGTGAATGACTGTCAGCTACTACCAACCCTGTGGATCTGCTGTGGGATGCAAACAGCAGCCAGCCTGAGTGGAGTTAACTCCAGATGTTATAAAGGCACATGAAGGSTTATTAATGTTCTCAGGTTTTACCACAAACATCTGAACTGGTGTCTGTGAAAGAAACCAGTTCAGCTCGTCTTTGTGTTGATTAAAGCTCATCATGGTTAAATAAAGTGGCTCCAGAAGCTCCTCAGCTGTGGACCAACACCTGCAGGAGTTTCACTCCACAATCTGATGACAGACTGATGACCTTGATGATAACAACCAATCAAATCAGACATGTTGGACTAAATGTCCCTGCAGTCAGTAAAAGTGCAGATCAGTCTGATCCTCTCAGATAAYAGTAGAGAAACCTGTTTTCTTTTTGTTCAACAAAAGCATGAAGATGACAGATAAGAGGACGACATTCCTGCTGTCTGGTTATTATATTATTATATGTTTACAACAGTATAACAGCTCCACAGTATTTACTCTGATCATGTTATGGTCAGCAGGTTATTTCAGCTAACTCACAGCTCATAAAGCAGAATATTATAGTTGTTATTTACAGCCGGATGTAGGCTCGCTCTTCATGAATCATTCAGCTCGGTCTGCAGCGGGCTGTCGGTAAACGGTGCAGAAATGTTTCACTCACAGAATTCAGCGACGTAAACCGAGACGACATAATTCTCCTCACACCAGTCCAGCGTGGAGGTCGGCTGGCCCCAGAAGCCCTGYCTGTCCGCGGAGGGAGCCATGATGTGAGAGCAGGAGGAAGAAGAGCGCTAACGGATCTGTAGCCCCATCACAGCACGAGCCCTCCGCCTCCACAGAAACACGCTGCTGGCTACGGAAGCCCGGTTAGGACATTTTTAACAACAGAACAGCCGCAGGGCTTGGAGACACACAGCTCCGACTGGTATGGAGGACCAAAAGTGACATCATTCAAAATAAAAGCAAAAATATATAAATGGAACAATAAGTTAATAAAATAATGTACTTTAAATGAACCAATTAACCCCTTCATACATGAATTATGATAAACTCAGTCAGATTTKTTTTAACTAAGTGTTTTTATACATCCGTAGGGATGTAAAACAAGGTTTGAAAAAGTGTCCTGATGCATCTCAGTAATCCAGGTAAAAAATCAAAAGGAAAAAAAATTGTATAGGTCTTCTGGATGGGTTCTTC